CGGGAATGGGAAGCGATACAGTCGCTGTGATTGAAGAGACGTTTTGACCGGACATAGTTGTACCCGAGGTAAACTTAGCTCGGCCGGAAAGGCTAAAGGGTTTTTAGCTCGGCTGAAAAAGCATGACAAACTCTAGCTCGGCCAGAAGGCTGGTAATCCCAATCATGTTGCACAGATGGAATTAAGGGACAATTGAGAGGGTAATTTTTGGGAAAATTGGGCCGAACTTCGAGTTTGGTTTTGAGGCCCAAAACGCAGTGGACTAGGTAAAAAGGCCGTACAGAATACTCCGGCCCAGAAGGGCAAAGTTACTCTGGCCTTAGGAAGACAAAGCTACTTCGGCCCAAGGAGGCAAAATTACTCCGGCTCAAGAAGAGATCGTTACTTCAGCCCAAGGAAGAGTAAAATTACTCCGGTCTGGAGGCAATTCACAGTTAGACCGGTCTCAAAGTTAGTCCGGTCGCAGTATGTTCTGAGAAGACCGGTGTCGGAATTAGTCCGGTCGTGACTTACATTGGTTAGGTCGGTCCGAACTTGTTACTTGGAAGTTTTGATCTAAGCGCATCAAGGTCGAACAGGGCAGCCGAAGTAAAGAGTTGGAGGAGAAGACCGAGCTAAGGATAGTTCGGCCTTCTGTGGCTCGGTATAGCCAAGTTTACTTCGGTCAAAAGGAAGTTCGGCCGTAAAGAAAACCATCCCACTTGGTTTAAGCAGTGGGGGAGGGTGCAAAAGGATAAGCATTATCCTTAGGAGAATGAATCCTAGGAGGACTCTGCATGGAGAAGTACAAGTCCTACTAGGATTGTGCCATACGAAACTTATAAAAGCTCACAAGCATCACCTTGGAGGAGGTAATTGGACACAATCTTTCTGAGAACTTAGAGCTTTGTCTATTTGTCAAGTTTTCTGACTTAGGCATCGGAGAGGTTTCCGGCACACACCCGCCGGCTAGCTCACGTTTGTGTTTTCAGGTGACAAAGCGACGTCGTACGGAGAAGCGTGAACTTGGTCAACAGGATTATACGAGGAGAATTATGTTTCGGATATACACACCCATGGGACCACCTCACACTACAGCACACAAATATACACACCCACTAAAATGGGTTATTAATTTGGAATAATTTACGTTTTATAGATATCATAACAAGTGATACCTCTGATGAGAATGAGCTGAGACATGAACCATCCCCAAATACCTCCCAATGCATCATACACCTTAGACAGTTGTTCTCGATGGAGATAGTTTCGGATGATTTGAGCTCCGATTGAGTCAGCAATGGAATGTTTGTAATAGCTTGTGAATGGATTGGTAGCTTTTGCTACTATTTCTCAAGATATATTTTTTTTTTAACAGAGTATTTCTCAAGAAATTGAAATTTATTTTTTCTCTCTACTGTGTTGTGGGCTTTAAGAAACAGATTTTTTGGGACAAATAAATATAGAAAAATACTTTGGAGCTTTAATTTTTGAGTTGTAAAGTCAGTTTTAATGAGTTGACGGTGAATCTCACCAACTATGATGTAATGTTTTGGCCTTACTTTTTTTTATTTTTTTATTTTTTATGTCATTAGTATTTTATTAAAATATCAAAATAAGTATTCTAAATCATTGTTGATAAATATATGTGTTTATATTATTATATATATATATATCGAGGTCTGTGGATTTGGTCTGATCGGGGCTGGAAAAGTTACATTTTCGAAAGGAAAAAAATGACGTTGGAGGGTGGGTGGTCTGCCATGGTATAGAAAGAAAAAGAGAGAAGAAGAAAACGGTAAAAACAGAGGAAAGTGGAAGACAATGGAGTCTCATTTATTTTATTTTATTTATTTATTTATTTTTTAAACTAGAAAATGGAGTCCGGTTAATAATGGCACTAAGAAAAAAATTAAACAAAAAGATAAGGGTTATATAGGCTTTTTACAGAAAATATTAACGGAGTTGGACTTTGCAGTTTACTCCATACTATAAGAGAGTTGTGTGTATATTTTTTAAGAATTAATTAGCTAAAAGTCTTATTTATAAATGATATGATAACTTAGATCTTATTTAAGATTTTTTAAATCAATAAATTCTATTTAGAAAAATCAAGAATATTATGAATTTTTCTATATTTTAAAAACTAAGAACAATATCAATTTTGGATAGTAATGTTTTAAATAATTGTTTCACTAACTAATTTGAAAAAACAAAATTAGATCATGAGATTAAATGTTTTTTCCCTTCTACTTATTACTATCCAATAAAATCAAAAATATTATCACTTTTTTTTCCAATTTTAAAACTGAGAACATTATCAGTTTTTTCAATTTTTTTTTTTAATTTTGTATATCAATGTTTTCATCATCATGCTCCTTTATAGACACAATTTTCAGTTTTGCACAAAAAAAAATTCAGTTTTTTCAAAAAAAAAAATAAAGTTTTTTTTTTCCCTTCAATTTGAAAGTTTTGAAAATCAAAATAAATGTCAAATCATTATATTCTGTTATAGATAATCATAATGATGAACAATCTTGTTTGAAGGATAATTCTGACTATTAAAAATTTAATGGGATTTGAAAGTCAAAAAAATCTTAGTTAGAGTATAAATTTATAAATTAAGATTTGTATGTAAATGTCTCATTTCTTAATTACAAGAGGTAATGTGTTTTTGAGTTAAACCATAGGAGTAAAATGTAATTCATCTTTTTAATTATCATGTTTGGATGACTAAAAATAAATAAATAATATGAGAGTGGACTATGAGTTATGAGTGAGATTTTTTTTCTTTCTTCATATATCTAATCAATTTATTTCTTACCAAATCATCTCATCCAGATGGAATGTGACTATAGTTGGGAGGAATACAGGATGAGTAATGTTAGGAATCATAAAAAAATATTATAAAGATGATTATGAAAGATTTTATATTTTTAGATTACACATATAATAAAACATTACACACTAATACAAAAAATCTTCATAATACATTTCATAATATTTTTTTCATAATTCCTAATATTATTCCTACCGGATGGATGATTCATTAATTCATGATAAGTAAACTAGCTCTAATAATAAAGGATGATTAGGCAAAAAGAAAATCTTTATTTTTTATTATTTTTTTCTTCATCAGCATACAAATACAACTTCCATGGTAGAAAAGTAGATTCTCCAAAATTATTTTGTAGTCTCGGAATATGTGTATGTGGTATTTGATAATGAGACGGGATCCACTATATATCATATTTGTTTTGAGAAATGGAAAGGGAATTTCTAATCCCGTGGTATTAGGATAAGCCTTGGAAAAGGGATTGTGATAGAAGAGGTAGAAGTGGTATTAGAAAAATAGTCCACTGGAATATTTATTTATTTATTTTTACATGTTGTGCATTTTTTTTTAACATTAATGTTTAATTTTTTATATTTTTTGTTAAGTAAAAATCATTGTTTCATTTGTTGTACTTTTTTTTGGAAATTTTTTATTTTTTACATGTTGGGCATTTTTTTTTTAACATTAATGTTTAATGATTTTGTATTTTTTTTTTGTTTTATTATTTTATAAAAAAATAATTTAACAATCCCTAAACCAACAACTATCATTAAAACAAACATAATTTTATTTAATCCCCTCACTAACAATCCTCTTATTATAAAACATCTTTATTCTATCTCTGAAAACAAACAACACCTAGTGTATAAAGACTAGGACATTGAAAAAAGGTAAGAGTTTCAGATATTCATATCTGTGATCACCCAATTTCTTATGCTGTGAGGGGATTGGTCTTGAATTTAAATATTTATTTATTTTTAAAATTTTTTATGGAGAATTGAAATGTTGCTTTGCTTTGCTTTTGGCATAATGGCAATGGAAAAAGTAATCAACGTAAAAAGAAAATGGAATATAAAATAAGGTCCCCGAGAATCTCATTTGCTCTTATAACCATTTAAGTTTGTCTTCAAGGTCAAGATTTTAAAGCAACTTGATATGCTTTTAATGATGAACTGTATTAGCTCTTTGCGGCTTTTAAGTACGTGATTCTTACTACTAGTTGGCATCGAAAAAGTTATTTATTTAAAAAAAAATAAAATCTTGAAAAGTAACCGAAATATAAAATAAATTTATTTAACACATTTTGTTTTTGAAACACTTTTTCTAGATGCATAATATTGTCCATTGGAGCAAATGATAGTGAAACTTCTAAGAGACTTTTTTTCTCCTTTTCGCCTCCTACCTTTGCTTTTGTCGACCTCTCGAATTACATGCCAAGAAGATTGGACGACAATCTTTACCCCTTTTTTTTTTTTTCCTCTAAAATTTGGGTTAATGGAAATGAGATTGTGGTATTACTCTTCTGATTATAGTGTGCTTTTATAACTCAAGAAATACAAATACTATATACTTCAAAAATTATTTAAAAAAATACTCAAAATTTAAATGTGTAGCGTAAATTTAAATTTGATGTGACATGAGTCTCATTTTTAATATGATCAACATGTCAAATTTAGACACTTTTTTTGGGTAACATTGCTGCCCAAGAAATAGTACAGGGTCCACATGAAATGATTATTTGGCCTTTATTCGCTCATGTATTGTCTAGTAAAATGTGAAAGACAAAGCATATAATCTCAGGTACCTTCTTCTTAGGGGTTGTTTGGGGTGTCCTAAATAAGTGTACTTTTTGTCTTTTTGGACTAAAAAATTGAGAAAGAAAATATAAATGTTTGGGTTAACTTTTTGACTTTTTATGGAAAATGTGTAATAAAAAATTGTAAAAATTGATTTGTAGGAGAAAATTAGGATTGGGAGTTGTGCAGCCGTAATTGTTAACTTTTGGTGAATAGTGTTAATTTTTTAACTTTTTGAGTAACTTTTTGACTTTTTAATTTTTCCTGAACATGCCAAACTTGGCCTTAGTTTTTCACTAGAATCATTGTGGTACTGTTGTGAACAATAATGCTTTATACAAACGATCAACTTTTATAAATTTTTACTACATGTCATATTATTTTAATGATTTCCATTTCAAATTCTAAAGTTTATTTGCGAGCAAGAAATTTTTTAAAATTTTATTAATTTGTACAGCATTTTCCGGCCTGAAATAGGATTCAATCATTCAACTCTACTTTTGATTGTCTCGGCATACCAACGTCTTCAGCTGTTGACTGTTAGAGGTTAGCACAGCTACTGTTTGACGGAGAGAATATGACAATATGATTTGCCTAAGAACAGTACGCGAACGTGTTGTGGTTTTGAGCTATAAAGCAAAAGGTGATGTTCAGAAGGCCATTAACTTCTCAACCAAGTCTATATGCTTATACTTTCTTTGGCCATGAACTTCCTAGCAAGTGAAAACCAGCCGTTGCATTCCTCATCTTCTCCAGATGAAGATTTAATAAAGCAGATTCTGCTCACCCACGACCCTGATGGTCGTCACCTTGATTCTGAGCTTTTGCTTCGTGCAATGGAGAACATCATGTCTTATGCTAAATCTGAAGTATTAATTCAACCCTCTTCCTCTGCCATGGCCTTGTAATTTTTTTAAATTCATCTATATATATATATATCGTCTTTAATGATTTATATGTCAATGATCTTGATAAATCATTTTGTGGTGCTTAATTAGGAACAAGAAAATTTAATTTTTCAGTAGGCTCTGTTGATGATGTGAAAGACTAAGGTAAGCTGGGCCACTCAGTGCATGAGGCTCCTGCTAAATGAGGATTTGAAGAGGGCAATATGTATACAGCCTTACCAATGTGTATGGTCTTTGATGATTTATATGTCTATGGTCTTGCACACTAACATAAATCATATAGTAGTGTTTAATTAGACATTAGAAATTTTAGTTTTCAGTAACCTCTGTTGATGATCTGAAAAACTAAAAAGGTCTAGGTGACTCAGTGCACAAGGCTCTCACTAACATGGGTTAAGTGGGCATACATTGCCTTTCCTCCATTTCTGGTGAGGTTGTTTCAGTACTGCATCACCAGAAATGTTAACTGCAAGACATATTTGAGGTTCCAAGAGTTACCGTTCCATTCAAGGGTTCAGCCCCATAATAAAGTATATTGCACCATGATACAGATCATGAACTTCAGAGACATGAGAGTAGAATGAAGAACAACTGATGTTAACAAAGAAAACGAGAATAAGTTTATGGTTTTTCATTTGATTCAAAGAAAGTTGGATTGACAGCTTCTGAATTTGTAATGGTTTGCATGTTTAATCAGTCTGAATTGGTAGGTCATGATTAATCAAAGTTGTTAACCATCAAGGCTTTCATTGCAGTCCCACTGTTACTAACTACCGTCACAAAACTCAGCATTCAAATATTCTACACACTACTAAGCACAATTGAATGGATAGCTTAAAGTCCACTTCGAGTGTTTACTTAGCACCAAAGATCTTGCTTCAGGTTTCTGATGCACATGATGGTGCCATTGCAAAGAGTGACATATGCAACATTGAGGTGGTTGGATCAGAAGAAACACTGGGACACACCATCTATAAAGTCTCACACGGGGTAATCTCCTCCCTCTCCCTCTGTCTTATGTATATGTATTAGAATTCTATGTACCCAGAAAAAATATTCAGAAAAGTACCCAAAATTTGAATCTATGGCATAGATTTAAATTTGGTGTATGGTCACACAATAAATCTGATACACATTTAAATTCTGGACATCTTTTTGGAGTATTTGCAGGGTACATAGTGTTGTTGGGATTTAGATAGTTACATTACATGATTATAATGGAGATCTCCATTACAATACATAAGATTGCAACATGTCATTCAAAGTCAAATCAACAGTATGCAATTGTTATGTTATTTTGAATTTTAAATTCTCCTGAACTGTTTTTTTGAATGAAATAAAGGTATCTTGTGAGTCTTTCACAACCATTGATGATGTAATGGAGAGGATCAAGATTGGTATTTTTGTTGTATGTATATATAGAATTGGCTAAGGATTTTCTACCTCCAAATCTCTGTTTCCTTGTCTGAAAACAATCACAAATATTGTATCATATGAGAATCTCAAGATGCGGAAATCCTGAAACATGATCCAATAGTTATGAGTATTTTGGAATAGGAGAAAAGGAAAATTTGAAACAGAGGATTCTGTGTCATGTAGAATCATGGATGCATGATACCAATTTTGACTGCAGATACTCTTCAACTACGTCATGGGTGGGAATCCACATGCAAAGACAATGGTCTTGTTTGACATGCTAGGGCATTACAGATGGGATGCAAAAGCAGTTTTAGTGCTATCAGCTTTTGCAACAAGCTATGGTGAATTTTGGCTCATAATGCAGCTCTACCCTTGCAATCCCTTGGCAGCATCTATTGCATTGCTAAAGCAGTTGCCCAAGGACTTGTTCTTGTTGAAGCATCTTTTTAAGGTCTTGAATGTGTTGATGAAAACGATTGTAGATTTGACAAAGTGCATCATTGAGTTCGAAGAATTGCCGGTGAATCATGTGATCCTAGACGGTGAGGCAATTGGCACTACAAAGTCTCAGATCTACATGGCCACTTACTGGATCATTAGAAGTGCCTTGATATGCTCTTCCCAAATCAAAGACTTGAGAGCCATGAAAAATGTGCAAGTGCATGTTCCTTCTCTTCAATCTGGTCACCACATGCTGAATTCTGTTGTCTACTATTATCGTTTCTATTGAATATTCAAGGGATCACAAGATAATTATGAATGTGATGAATTCAATTTATTTCCAATGAAGAATAATTAATTTTTTTGACTGGTATTTTGTATGCTATAATGAAGTAATAATTTTTTTTTTTTTTTTTTTTTTTTTTACAGGCATTCAAATTCAGTAACCATTGCTTCGTGGGAGCTCTCAAGCTTGGTGGGTAGGTTAAGCACCATAAGCAGTCACCTCAGGTGGCAAGTGGATGTTTGTTATAAGCTGATAGGTAAATGTTCTTCATAACCTTTGGAAGCCTTTTAATGCTGAAATGAACTATTTGTTGGAAAATGTGATCCTGATAAATATTGGACATTAACCCGAATTCTGAAATAAGGGTATTTTCTCACTTGTGATTTGTAGCCTTAATTCTTATATATGTCGTTGAGAGGGTAGCCTCTCTTTATCTCTCGCTTGTAACTCTTTCTGATCATAGTGAAACCGCAACAACGTAGGTAGGCCTAATTTTGGGGTGAACCACATAAATCTTGTGTATGCATGTGATTTACAGTTATTGTTTATTTGTTCTTCTTTTTTTTTGTATCTCACTGATCTTGATTAGGTGTTCTTCGATTCCTAACACTATCAACTTTGAATTTCTTATTTTCACCCTTATGTGTCTTATAGAGACAAAGATGCATAACAAACTCATGGATCTCTTTAAGGAGAGCCACATTGATAACCAAGAGGTGCTTGAGATGTTGTTTGCTTTGAAGGATAACTTGCCTCTGAAGGATTCTTCCTCCCAAGCAAAGGTAGGTTGTCTCTAGAAATTTCTATTATCGTTCACAGTTGATTGTCCTGCTTTAGCTAAAACCATTTTTGCTTGAATGCACTGTCACTCCTGGCGCTTCAAGTCGCACTTTTTCCTATATGACCAATCATGAGTGGTCGGGATCAAAGTTGACATGGTGATTGTGGCCCTAGAGGCTCATTTGCAATTTTTGTTGTATACAATAGGACTATATCTTTGGGATGTCTAAAACAGAAACATTCTAATCCTTTCATTAGCCATTTACTTAACTAAATAACAATGAGCTTTGGATTTATTTGACAGCTTGGGTTGTCTGCACTGAAAAGCAAGGTAGTGATACTCTTGGTTTCAAGGCCAGAGCTCCTCCCTATAGAAGTGATACTCTTGCTGGCGCAACAGATGTTTGATCATCCTCACCGGGTGAATTTACAAGGAAGCTATGAAATTGTATGGGTTCCCATTCCATCATCGAATACGTGGACTGATGTAGAAGAACAGAATTTTGATTTTTTATCAAACTCATTACCATGGTTTTCAATTCGGCGACCTTGGTTACTCAGCTCAATAGTGGTGAAATCCATTAAACAGGCATGGGATTTCAAAGAGAAGCCCTTAATGGTAGTATTGGATGCACAAGGTATGGTTACGAACTTAAATGCAACTGAAATGGCATTGATCTGGGGTGCCATGGCCTTTCCCTTTTCTACTTCAAGAGAAAATGAGCTATGGGAAGAAGAAACTTGGAATCTTCAACTATTACTTGACGGAATTGACCCTCTGGTAGCAAAGTGGGTATGCTTTCGATTCAACTTTCATGTTGAGGCATCCTTAATTCAAACAAGGGTTAATTTCACTATTTTCTCCTATACTATCTCTATCTTTTCAATTTCATCCTTAAACTATCAATTTGATCTATTTATTCCCTAGAGTTTCTAATATTAGTTAATGTGGTCCAATTGGTGACAGTCGTCAGTAACTGTTAAAGCCCAATTTGATAGGCTAAAAAGTCATTTCAAAATTTGACTAACTCAAACCATTTAGCCATATACTCACTTTTCTTTCTCACTATTTTGAAATGAGAGGTGGAGAAGAAGGTGAGTGTTTGGTTGTAGGATGTAAGTAGTCAAATAAAATGTGAGTGAGAAGATGTGTGTTTGGTTGTCTAATTTAAGTTATCCAAATTGTAAAATTACTTTTTGCTCATTAAGTCAGGTTTCTTTCCATTATTGATTTAGACGGACCGTCTCCAATTGGATTATATGAATTGATATAAGAAATTGTAATAGATGAAATCTATAGTTTAGTAATGAAATAGAAAAAATAGCAGCAAATTACGAAATAAAAGTGAAATCAACACTTTGAACAAAGATTTGATTTATTCAAGATTTGTTTTTTTGTAATTTTGTACCAATCACACATTGATTTCAGGTAGAAGAGGACCAAAACATTTGCATTTATGGAAGCAACAACATAGATTGGATTAGAGAATTCAATGCTAAGATGATGAACATCACAAGTGCAGGACTGCAGCTTAAGATGGTCTATGTTGGCAAGAAAAATCCGAGTGATGAACACATGAAAAACATTTTAGCCACCATGTACGAGGAAAAGCTGACCAGTTCTTTAACTTGCACGAAGATTTATTTTTTTTGGCTTCGGTTGGAGAGCATGAGAAGATCAAAACTCCGATTAAGACATGCAGATGATCATAAAGATCAGATTCTAAAACAGTTGTCAGAGTTACTGGACAACAATGATGAGAGTGAAAAAGGTTGGGTACTACTGGGAAGAGGGTCTTCGACAGAGACTTTGAAGCTTCAAGGGAGAAAAATTATGGAATGCTTGAATCTTTTTCCAGTGTGGGGAGAAAATGTGGCCATGTTAGGGTTAGTGGGTGCGATTACAACTGCAATCGAACCACCTCTTCTTGTTGAGCCTTGCAGTCACTCTAATATTATACAATTTGTTGAAGGATTGAAAGACACAATAATTTGTGATAAATGTAAGCGCCTCTTGGAGAAATTTGTGGTCTAC